CTAGAGTAGCCTCTCTGTGCCAGCACGTTGCCATCCAGAGTTGCCCCAGCATGCGAGCTCTGGTGACGACTGACTGGTGGCATGGTTCTGGGGCCACCACACTGTAGCCCGTTAGAACAAACTCTCGTTGCTGCATTAGGTTGCCAAATGAACATTTGCGTTTGCTTTGAGAAAGCTTTGCATCGCAAGTGGCAAATTTGGAGATGCATCTGCTTATACCTCAGGAAAGGGACAGCGTCGGCCGTCACGGCTTCCTGTCCATTTTCCTGGAGAGGTTCCTCTCAATCCCTCGCCAACTGGTGCAGCTCAATTTTCTTGTGAAAAAGCTTATTTTTTTTTTTTTTTAAATCATTCAGTCTTATTCCTTTTGTAATCATTTTTACCTAGTGGAGCAAAGGAGATAATTTTTGCAGATTATACCACTTTACTCTTAAATTAATTCATTCTTCTTGAGGGAATGATTCTCATAGTGTGGCCAAGTGCTTAGAAATCAGCAGGCTACTCACTTCACGCTTGCCTAGCCTGGTCCTTGATTCTGACCGCTGGCTGGAGTGCCTTCCCCTCTGGACTGCAGGGGAGAAGTGTAGCACATGAAAGTCTCACTGAATGCCTTTCCCTGGTATATCCTGTAAATGTGATGGTGCACTTATGATTTGTAACATTTTTATCTTATGTTAGGATTACTGGTGCATTCAGCAAGATAATTTTTACTTGGATTATTGTTCTAGAATTATTATAGCATAAATACCTATTACCTACATGAATGTAAATCTTTTGACCTTATTTATCTAAAAACATGATGCAACTTGTTGAATAAGAGTAGATGTCTAAATCATACTAATTTCATTCATTCATTCATTCACTCATTCATTCGAGATGAGGTGTGGACTCAGACTTCTGAGCTGAGATTCCTTTCTCAGCCTGTCAAGTAGCCAGGACTGCAAGTGTGTTCTATCACACCTAGCGGGTAGACAGTACTATTTTAAACTGTTAAGTACTTTAAAAAAATCTGATGGAAATAAATTCACAAACTTATGCAGATTATTAGTAAAAGTGCTAAATAATTTTCTTTCTTTCTTTCTTTCTTTCTTTCTTTCTTTCTTTCTTTCTTTCTTTCTGTTTGTTTTTGACGGAACTCAGGCCCTTGCGCTTGCCAGGGAAGCGCTTATTCCACTGAGCCATCCCCGTCCTATTTTCATTAAATAGTTATACATATTTCTCTTTTCTAGAAATTTTCTGAGAACTGTTATAAATTACACAAAATATTTAAATATACATACAAACATACAAATCACTGGTATTTCAATTTTCTTTAGTTTTTAAAGAAAATAAAAAATAGTAAAAATAATTAGGAATGATACAGAATTTCACTAAACAAGATAATAGGAATTCAACAATGGCTGTTATTTGCTTATTGTTGTCTTCAAATTAATTGTTTAGATTGCCAGATATAAGCATGCACAATTGGTAAAAAATAAATGTTAGGAAAACTTAAAAAGGAAAGAGAAAAAATTAGCATTAACTGCTCCTTTCAATAGACCAGCAGAAATCAGCAGGGCAGTTATCCAGGTATCCTGTATATATACATAAATAGTTTTCTCTCCTCTTTCTTTCCTTTGTCCTTTTCTCATCCTATTTGTTCCTTCTCTTTGAACAGATTCTTTCCCTTTCACAGTATCTGTTGTACCTTTCAGATTTTATTTATTCTTTTAGGCTCTTACACTGGGAGACAATATGATGTTTACACATGTAGTCTAATTTAGTTCACTTATGAGTATGATCTCTAGTTGCATCCATTTATCTATAAAAGCCTTGAGTTTATCTTTTTGTGTAAAAAATACCACAGCTTTTTTTATCCATTCCTCACTTGATGGGCATTTGAGTTGTTTTCAAAATTTAGCTATGAGAAATTGTGCTACAGTAATCATGGGTGCACATATATCTCTTTGGTATGTATTCAGTTCTTCTGGAAAAGAACAGCATATGCCCAGGAGGGGAACAGCTGGGTTGAGTGGGAACTCAGATCCTACTTTTTAGAGAGATCTCGACACTGATTTCCACAGTGTTTTTACCAGTCCATGCTCCCACCAACAGTGGAGAAGTTTTCCTCTATCCCCATAGCCTCGCCAGAATTTGTTATTGGTTGACTTCTTGGTGACAGTCATTGTTTCTGGGGTGAGATAGAATCTTGGTCTTGTTTTAATTTGTGTTTCTCAAATGGCTAGTGATGTTGAACATTTTTTTCATACGTTTGTCATTTGTATTTCTTCATCTAGGAAGTGTATATCTCTCTCAGATGCCCATCTTTTGATTGGGTCATTTTCACAATGTTGGTTTTTTTTTATCCAGGAGAAAGGAATATCTTTCAATTGTCTGAAATCTTTGATCTTGTTTTTCAGAGTACTATAATTTACTTCCTTCATTAGATTGATTCCTAAGTATTTCATTTTTTTGGAAGTTATTTTGCAAGGCATGGTTTCCTTTATTTCTGTCTCAGTGTTTTTTGTTGTTTGTGTATAGAAAGCCCATTGATTTTTCAGCATTAACTTTGTATGCTGTTACACTACTGAATTTGGTTATTAAATCTACAAGACTCTTTGTCGAGTTTTTGGGGTCTTTTATGTAGAGTATCATATCATCTGTGAATGTACTCATCATTTTAGATTGGCAAAATGTTGTAACCATGTTGAAAAATCACTTATGCTTTGGCTAATCAAAAACTTAACTAAAATCTGTGTTGGTAGAGTTCTCTTGCTTTTGCTTTTGCTTTTCCTTCTTTTACATGTTCCCCTAGTACATAGAATTAAATCCAGGGCCTTGACACTGAACCATGTTTTTATTTGAGGCAGGACCTCACTGATTGCTGTGTTGGGCAGGCTGGGCTCAAACTTGTGTCCCTCCTGACTCAGCCTCCCAGAGTGCTGGATTATTGGCATCCCCTGCCCCCAGTAGAGCATGCTTTTATTGCAGAGGCTGGAACTGCACGGTATCCATGGTGCACAGCGATAGTGTTAGGCAGCAGCACTCCCTTTCATATGTGCTCCGGTTCTGATCTCCACAGTAATGGAGACATCCTTGTTCTTAAGCTGTTCTTTTCCTGGCTGCTTTGAAGATCAAGTAGTCCAGTGACACCTTGGCATTCTAGTGGTATCAGTGACCATGACTTGTTTTGATTTCCTTTGTAAACCTTTCCCATTTGCCAGCATCATAGATATATATTTAATAATTTGATTCCTCTGACAAAACACTGTTCAGCTGCAGATAGAAACAAACAATAGTGAATCTTAGAGAGATAGATTGTAAGAGGATGACATTTTGGCCTAATTAATCTCTTCTTTCCGAATATGGACTTAGGCAGTCAAGTTTATCATGCAGCTAAGTCAGTGTACTTTGTTCTTTTGAGTTCAGCTAAGTTTTGCATTTATAATTGGAGTAGATGCCAATTTCTTTTTTTTATCAATCACTAATATTTTTAGGAGCCAGCACTGCTAGGTGTAATACTCAACTGGCAGAATGAGAGAAGACAATTTAAGTTTCATCTCTACTTGCTTTTCTTACAAGTTGGTGGTTTTGACCTTAGGCTAATGCCTCTTTGTTATATTTAATCACAGATTTTAAGATGTACTTAATAGTTCTGAAACATATTTACAAAGGAAACAAGTGCAAACTGCAGAGGAACAACAATGGGAAAAACTGAATCTAAGTTCTGCTCACTTGTATTCTGTATTGTGCAGAACATTTTAGAAATATGCGCCTTTTTTGACCTCTGAAACTTGCTCATTCGTCCATTGAGCCGTTGCCATTAGACCTCTCCAGTCGCTCAGTGCTTTGGTGTGCACCACAGAAACTCATCTTCAGCTCCTGGAGCTGGCTGTGCAGCCTTCAAGGCGCAGCCTGTACTAACAGGAGAGTAAGATAAACGGTTGTAGGGCGAAGCAACAACTACTGCCAAAATTTAAAGTAAGGAACTATCTACTTGGTATATTTTGACTGGAAAGCATACACATTATCCTACAAGTTGGAATTCTGTTGGAAGATAGATAGGGTTCTTAAATTCTAGTAACTAGGTAATTGTTTTGGCCTCTGAAGTAAGATTGTGAAAAAACTCCTCAAACTTTGGGTGTGTCAAAAATAATTTCCCTTAAAAAGAGATTCCCTTAAAATTTTGTGCGTAATCATGCTACAACATTTAGGCCAACCACCCAGCAAGTAGTAGCAGTTTTACTGAAGATGTCTGGTCCGCCTTGCTTCTGCTTCTCAAGAGCTTCTACTGTTTGCCCCCAGGATTTATAGAGCTCCCTGCGAATTAAGAAGTTAGTGTTCTTGAGCAAGTACAGTAGCAAGTCTTACTGTTTTCCTCTGAATGTCTAAGAAGTTCCTTGAAACCTTTTACCTAAAGTTTGAGCTCACATAGGAGGAGTTGGATGGTTACTGGCATTTTCTGAGCTCTTCCCTGACTTTATCTTATTTTCTTCAAACGAATTATTTACCTTACTTGGCAGAACTGGTGATTTTTGAAATTCAGAATGTTGGGTCCTATTAAATTCTCATGCCAAGCTTTGAGCTGCTTGAAATCTTCTTATTATCCTTCTGTGTCCTATGAGGCACCGAGGTTGGTTCTTGCTTGAGCAGAGAGGCAGGGATTGCTATCAGTGTCTTGGCACAGCAGAGGCCCAAAACTTTGCACAAGTGTGAGCTCCTCTGGGCCCAGCTAGCCCTTTGCAGCCTTGTCATCGCAGAGAGCAGTATGCACTGTTTCCAAAGCGTGGCATCAGTGAGGAAGAAAATGATGCCTTAGATTTATTGAAAGCGCCCATTTGTACACATCAGTTAGGTTCTTGTGATACTGGTGTTAATTTTAAATTATATTAGTAGTGATTTAATTCCCCCCCCCCCCCATAAGGAAGTCTATGTAAACGCAGCTCCAGCATGGGAGCAGCAGGGCATGGTACTCAGGGGCAGTATCACATGTATAATCATTTGTATTCTTAATGTTCCAGAACTCTGGGGTTATTAGTAAGACGCTTGGAGAAAGGTGGCAAAGCTGAACAAGAAAACCTTTTTCATGAGAATGACTGCATTGTAAGAATTAATCATGATGATCTTCGGAACAGAAAGTTTGAAGAGTAAGTCTGTGGGTCCGGCCGGGTGCAGGACAGCCCACCAGGTGTCCCCGCCCTGACTGTGATCTCGGCGTCCTGGAGAGAAGCATTTGCTGCCGCCACTGTCTGGCTTTTAAAATTGTAGCCCGACTTGTGGCTAGTTACTGATGATTCCCCTCAGTCTATCTGTCAGAATGCCCTCTAGCTGATGGGGCTCTTTGGAAAACACAATGGGCGGGGGCTCAGGCTGCTGCTTTCTGGTCTTTTGGAGAATGCGCCAGTGTGTTTTTTATATTTGGTTTCAACCCGCATTTCCAAGGCTGTCACATAGATATCTGTGTGAGTAAGCAGAAGCTCCTTTGAGCCATGAGCCTGTCTTCCTGAGATCTTCTTTATGTGAAGTCAAGGCCTTATTCAGTTAAAAAGGGAGAAATACATCAGCTGTGGCCTACCAGATCGGCCAGGTGTGAGCAGAACTTAGAGCACAGGCAAGGAGGTACTGGGAGCTGCCCTCAGATGGTCCTAGGGTGGGTGGCCCTGGGACCCCGCGGCAGCAGACAGCTGGAGTCTCTGAGGGCCCGTCAGCCCCCTGCCCACTCCCTGCCTTATATGCGGGGTCCTAGGGGAGAGCCCAGGGCTGTGCAAGTGTTCCCCACTGAGCTGCATCCCTTTCCTTTTGCATTTGCAGGGACAGTATTCTTGAGATTTTTGCATACACAGACTTGAGTGAGTCTTGCTGATACATAGTGAATCCTTAGTCACTTTCTGTAGTTTTCTAAATATGATTATGAAGACTTTCACTTCTCTGAAAACTCAGATGGCCCATTTTTAAGGAAAAATTATAGCTCTAGCAGCCTGTGTTGGTGGTTATTGTAGAGAAGGCTGTTTGATTTATATTAACATTAAAGTTGGAATACCCCAATGTACTTAAAACTGCAGCTCTCTGATTTTTGGTTGAGAGCACAGTATTTATTATAATGGTCAATAACTTCTCCATTTTTATTTAGAGAATGAGAATTTTATATTTGAAGAAGTTGCTCTGCTTATATCAAAGCTTGCAAACTTGATTAATAAATACGTTATCAAAATTTTGCTTTTCAGTTTCAGCAGTCTGTCAGTTCTTATTGCTTAATTAGTATACTTAATTAAGCTCATAATATCTGCTAGTCTGCCAGTCTTAATTTGCTAATCTTCCCTTCTTTCTCAAACCCAGGGCACAACAAATGTTTCGCCATGCCATGCGTGAACCCATCATTTGGTTCCATGTGGTTCCGGCTGCAAATAAAGAGCAGTATGAACAACTATCCCAAAGTGAGAAGAGCAACTACTATTCACGCTGCTTCAGTCCTGAGAGCCAGTACTTGGACAACAGGAGCGTGACCAGTGCCAGGCCCCATGCGCTGCCCCGAGCGTCCACCCTGAACCCCCCGCCTGAGCAGATGGGTGCTCACCCGAGACTACCTCACAGCACGCACCCCTCGGCCAAGCCGCCCGCAGCCCCTGGCCCCCACGGTGTATTTAGCCCAAGTGCAAGCAGCGGGTATAACACCAAGAAAGTGGGCAAGAGGCTCAATATCCAGCTTAAGAAAGGTATGAGCTGGCTTGTTTTTGCCCGATTGGATTGCTTTAAAAAGTCAACCAACTACCCAAAAGTTCCCTTTAGTTAAGTTAATTTTGTTCTTTTGATTGGTGTTCGGTTTTTGTTTTTGTAGTACTGGCCTGCTGGGTAGGTGTTTGGCCACTAAGATGCATTCCCAGCCTAGGGCCTTGAGTTTTTCAACTGACAAACTGATACGAAGACTTAAAAAAAAGACTGTATTTTTAAAAGAGACTTGCTTGGGGCTGGAGAGATGGCTCAGTGGTCTAAAGCACCTACTTGGAACAAGCTTGGCAAAGCACAAGGACCGTGGTTCAATCCCCCAGCACCACATGCCAACCAGCCGCGCCTCCTGGTGGGCTGAGCTGGCCACATACACACACAATAAATAAATGTAATAAATAAATAATTAAGAAAATACTTCCATTGTTAAAAAAAAGAGACTTGCTTAAAATTGTATTTTTATGCTTTCCAGATTTATTTTTGTATATATAAATTAAAAGGTAAAAGTTCACAGAATAAGAATTGGCAACGTAAGTTTATGAAAAGGTAACAGTTACTCAGTTACTGGGGTGTGTGTGTGTGTGTGTGTGTGTGTGTGTGTGTGTATAATTTGGGCTTGTACCCAGGGACATTCTAAACTGTACCCCAGCCCTTTATTTCAAATACTGTTTTGAGACAAAGTTTCACAAAGTTGCTCAGGTTGGACTCAAACGTGTGATCCTCCTGCCTCAGCCTTCCAAGTAGCTGGAATTAAAAGCATGGATTATCACAACCAACAGTAAGATTTTTGATAATGAGTAAAGATAATTTCAGAACATTACTACCCAAACAAAAATAACAATGACGATATCAATCAGTTAATTGAACAATGACTGGTTGATTAATTGATTGAGAAAGGGTCTTGCTGTATAGCTCATGCTGGCCTTGAGCCCACTATGTGGCCCATGCTGGCCTCAAACTCTTGCAGTCCCTGTGCCCCAGCCTCCCAAGTGCTGGGATTCTAGGCGTGCGCCATCACGTCTGGCAGAACAGTGGGGATTTGACCATTTTGTTTGACCCTTTTGCTGTCCAGACACAGCCTTTAGGGAGGACTGGTGCCCTCGCCCCACTTGGCTTGCTGACCATGGGCTGACCAGGTAGCTCCATGAGGCTGTCAGTGGTCCATAGCAGGCGCTGAGAAGCAACTTTCTCTGCCTCCCACTCTTCTATGATCCCAGATGAGTTCTCCTGGGAAGGGATGAGACCAGTGGGTGGGAATGCCAGGGTCCTCGGTGCTCCATCACAGTGGAATCTGCATGTCTTCCCCCCACCGGGTGGCTCTCTGTGGCTGCCTCTGCAGTACAGGGTGGACCGCTGGACTCACTGCCTTCCAGCCACCCCCCGTCGAGCACGGAGACAGATGGGCTCTTCCGCACCCATGAAGTTGAGGATTCTTTTTTTGTGTCTGGAATCAAACTCAGGACCTTGTGGTTGCCAGACAGGTTTTGTGACACTGAGCTATATCCCCAGCTCAAGCTAAGCATTTTGAAGCCTTTTTAATACGCCTTTTGAAATAATGTCATTATAAAAGTACTCTAATGAGCTCACCTAGCTTCTGGGATTGGATGGAAAATGCAGAGGGTGATTTCCTCACAGCCCGTGGCTGTAGGCTGCAGATTGATCCCAAACCCTCTTCCCCAGCCTGATGCTCACACCCCCATTCTTCTTCCCATTTGGGGTGGCCTTTAAGGGTGTAAGCTCTGTAACTGCTGTTTCCTTTCTAAATCATCATCTTGCATGAACTCCAGGTAGGCTGCAGGTTTCTTTATTCTGGTTACTTCTTGTGACCCTCCAGGTCCTTGCCTGACATGTGCAGGAGGTGACAGCTACCAGTGACTTCTCCAACATGAGGCTGGCCACAGAGACTGCCCCAGCCCTGTTCCCCAGTGGGCTTCTTCCTCATTCTCTGCTCACAGGACAGCACTAGTTGTTAACCAGAAATATTCTAGGGTCACAGATAGTGTTTCATAAAAAACCCCTCCATTTTGTTTTGAATCTCTCAACTAAGGTGCTATAATTTCCTTGGCCATTGTTATAAGGATCTTAGTTCATAAATATTGCTTTTCTTTTGTACTAATAGAGGAATATTCAATTACAATTTTGCATGATAATTAGATCTAACAAAATGTGAACTTTTTGCATGAAGTAAAATTTTATTTACTATTAAAGGAGTGCTTTTGTTGAATGTTGGAATTATTAGTTTTATTTTAGTAGCATTTAGAACTGTGGAATTGCATTTACACAAAGTAGTTTAGAAAAGCTAATCAGTATATAAAAAAAAGTGGAAGTGATGGTTTTAAGTATTTTCTTGACCTTACTCTAATGTAGAGGCCTAGAGTTCTATTTTAGTAGTAACTGACTAGTTGTGACAATGTTTAACCTAAAATACGTTCAGCCTAGGCCATGACTGATAGTTGCAAATACTTTATGCGAACATAAATTATGTTTACAACAAATAAGTGGGTAGAATAATGCTGATCCTCTTTGATTAGCTGTTTTATTAATTAGTGTATGAGCACCGAATGAGACTTACCTGTAGTTAGCAGTTCTATTTTTACCAATTATTGATACATTCTCAGTTGTTAATGAAATACATTGAAACAGTGGATGCCACTAATAAACTTTAAATGCAATTCAGAGTTAACTAATGTACATTTTTTTGCAGAACCAGGGATTGAACTCAGGTCCTTGCGCTTGCCAAGGAAGCACTTATTCTACCGAGTCACCTCCCCACCCCAAACTAACGTACTTTGAAAGACAGAAATTATTTAAAAACTGTGGCCAAGTCTTAGTACTAATAAGAGAAGCCTTTGGGATAATGACTGTGGCATAATTTGGACCCCTATCACATGACAGTGGAATAGCCCTCGTGTACTGGCTTCCATAATTAAGATTTTCCAATATTTATTGCCGTTTTGGCGCTCTGAAATACCCTGCTCTTTTGTAGAAATTAGCTTTTTAATAAAGTCAGAGGAGAAGGTCAGTGATCTGTTTCAGTCAGTGCAAAATGTTTTGTTGGCTCTGCTAAATGAAAATTGATATCTATTTATCTTCCTTTTAAAGGTCATCGCCTGAACTTTTAGCTTACAGATTTAGGGGTTATTGCTGATATTTTAATAGTATTGAGGTTCATATAACAGTCAGTCTTTGTAGTTCATATAAATTAATATTGCAAAAGGAGAATAATTTAGAATTCTTTCTTAATAAATGTTATTGCAAGTCATTAGAGTTCCGTGAAAGCACAGAGACATATGGAAATGTCCCAGCAGAGCAATTAGGAAAATTTCATATAGACAATATGCCATTCAGTCTTCAACACAGAGTTCTAAGACATCAGCAGTCTGGGCACATGCAAGTGACTTCAGACTGGAAGTAAATGGATGTTTTGTTTGAACTTGAGAATATTTATGGTCGGTTTTATTATAGGTATAAAGGAGTGGTTACCCCTGCTTTGTCTGTCTTTGTGAATCCAGTTTTTATTCGCTCTTTGTTGTTTGTTCACTTACGTGTTATATCTTTTTCTGTAGTTTTATACTGAGGCCTGGGTCCAGTTAATACACTCTTTTCTAGAGCTTTCACCTTTTCATATCCCTTCATTCTTCCCATAATGAATATTTCCCTTCTATTATTTTAACTGAAATGGCATGTAGTATCTTAAGAAGTAAGTTTTTTTTTTTTTTTTTTTTTAGCCGAGGTAGGAATTGCTCATTATTAGAAGTGTTACAGAAATTCTCTGATTCATTAGAAATTTGTCATTATCTCCACATCTATTTCTTGGCACCTTTTGGCTTATTGCATGTTAGATCCAGTGACGTGTGACCCCCTTTTTACACTGTATTGAGCGTATAAGATTGCTTGTCAAGAAAGCTGCCAAAGAACTGAGAATTAAAATTATAGAAATCAAGAGAGTAATTTATAAATGCCTCATTAATTCTAGTACCTTTAAACATAATAGGGTGACCCTCAGCTTGGGTAGCTGTGATCTGAGATGGATTCTCCACTGAGTAGTTTGCCTTCTTTGTCACCACATGGATGGGTGGCTGGCAGCACACGCTGAGACTTAGGCTGAGGAGAAGGGGCTTGCACAGGGAATTAGGGTCTGTGGGTGGAAACCTTTCTCGTCTCCCATCCTCCTACCTCTGTCCCTCAGATCTAGAGGTCAGTATTGTGCAAACAGAATTTCATACTTGAGGTGCATGGGTTTTATAGAAGTTTGTTTTTCTTTGTTTTCATGTAGACTAATGAATCTCATTTAACACTCAAAATTTAGATTGACTTGAAATTTTTAAAAAGCGCATTTGTATAACCTTTATCTGTTAGGTTCATATTTGAAATTTCCATTCTTCTTGGAATAATGACTTTTGATAGATAAACCACTTAAAATTTCCCCATGATTTAATCAACTTTTGAAAAATGTATTTTACATGCTGGGTGTGGCGGCACATACCTGTAGTCCCAGCAAATGGGAGGCTGAGGCAGGAGGGTCATAGTGACTTTGAGGCCAACCTGAATTACATAGCTAGGCCCTGCCTTGAAAAACCATGCCCGCACCCCCTGAGTGCACGTGCGTGCGCGTGCATGCACGCACACACACACACACACACACACACACCTGTTATTACAACTTTTAAAGTAGTAGAACATGGGTCCTTATGAAACTTACAGAATGTCAAATTGAGCAGAAAGTGATATTTACATATGATAATGCCAAGTGTGTAAAATTCGAGACATCTCATTTTATTTACTTATGTTTTTCGTTACATACTTAGGTACGGAAGGTCTGGGGTTCAGCATCACTTCCCGAGATGTGACAATTGGAGGCTCAGCTCCAATTTATGTGAAGAACATCCTCCCGCGAGGGGCGGCCATCCAGGATGGCCGGCTGAAGGCTGGAGACAGACTTATAGAGGTGAGGACCCCTATATCTCTAGGGCGCTGCAGTTCCTCAAATGGTCTGTTTTCAGGGGTCAGGTTTTTAACCATGTTCATAGTACAGGAAATTAAAGTATGCATTTTAGCAGAAATATGCATCACAAAATAATGTTTCTCTTCTATTTTGTTTTATCACATCTTATGAGAAGTTACCTTTTCATCTGTGTTATTTATAAATTTTAGTTACTCAGACACTGGTTATGGGCTAAGGTAATAATTTTGTCATTATATAAGACCGTATCTGTGACGTTGTATTTCTAGATGGCTTTAGATCTATGTCTAGCAAAATAGAAATGTTATCAGAACAAAGACAAATGCAGTCAATGCAAACAGTACTTCTTGAAGTAGGGAGTGAGAAAAGCTTCAGATGACAGTGCAGAGAACACATTGAGACATCAGAAAAAAGACAATAGAATTTTTGAAAATTTCCTTTTAGTACTTCATGATTTTCAGTTTGTTGGTGTTGGAAGCCACCTTGGAAACATAAACCAAGGTGGGAAGATTTATATATACAGGGAAACAAAAAAAGAGGAACACTGAAAAAGAATATAATTAGCTGTTTTCTCCTAGTGTTTTCCTTTATAAACAGTCTGCCCCCCTCCCTTTCCTTCCCCTCCCTCCCTGCCTTAGGCCTGCCCTCTCCCTCCCTCCCTGCAGCCCTCTCTCCTTGCTTCCCTCCTGCCCTCTCTTCCATGTGTGTTGCTCGGCAAGTGCTCTATCTCTGTCAATGAGCTCCCATCCTAGTACTACCCAAAACAACCAAAATACAGAACAACTAAACAAAAGCTCATTTTGAAACCAGTGAGTTTTGTGCCCGTTGGACATTTTAGGTGTATTTGTTACTTCAAAATGCCCTGGCTGTTCATTGTAGCTTTTGGTTTATTGATGAACACTGAAAGATTTATTACTTGCTAGCTTACTTCCAGATAGCTGGTCTAAGTTATTTTATGGGTTGTTTGTCCAGCCACAATTTAGTGGCTTGAGCTCATGACCGAGTCCAGCCAGAAAGGAGCCACATTCCATCTCAGGCATGGTCAGTTCTATGCCAAGTATCTTTTTCTGCTGTTTGCATGCGAGGCAGCTGAAAACGTTTTCTGGTTTCAGGTGAATGGAGTAGACTTGGCAGGCAAATCCCAGGAGGAAGTGGTTTCCCTGCTGAGAAGCACCAAGATGGAGGGGACCGTGAGCCTTCTGGTCTTTCGCCAGGAAGACGCTGCCTTTCACCCAAGGGAACTGGTGTGTAACTTAGAGCACATGAGGGATTTCTGATGCACATGGCCCAGGGACTGAGTTAGCTCATGGCGAATGCGTGTGGAGAAAGTTGCAGAGAGTTTCTTTATTGTGTGTTTCTGTCAGCTCTAACTCAGTGCAAGCCTTTTGTCTCTGCTGCTGTCTACTCTAGACAGGAATGCCCACCGTGGTGAGCATAGAGGGGTTCAAACTTCAGCTTGTGGGGATGCATTCTGAGATGTCAGCTGCTCATCGCTGCACACTCTTGGAGGCGCTCCCTGAGTGCTGTCGCTGCACAGGCTGTCAGGGAGCCATGCCATGAAGATGGCAGCGACACATTTTCATGTTTTCTTAGTGGGCACGGCAAAGCCAAATAAAGATGCTTGCTTACGGTTGTAGGAAAGGAGTCCATTTCAAAAGTCCTTACTGTTGAACACAGAGAGGCCTAGGTGGCAAGAAGCCCCTGGCCTTCAGCACCAGGCTAGGCAGCGTTGTTTGGAATGATGTAAACAAAATGAGAGATCATTTCTTTGCAGTGTACCTACTTTACTTCCCGTGCTTGCATTAGTAAGTCTGTTAGGAGTATTTGTGTGACATCAGTGTGAAGGAAGCGTGTATATTAAGTTTATGTCGTTCTGAGTGTTTTTCTGCAATAAGTGGTGAGTCCCATTTATTTATAAAAATGATAAAATTGGAATCACCTTCATCTTTTGATGAGGTTAAAAACTAGAGTTGCTTAAAATAAAAGTGATTCTTTAAATATTTCCAAGGAGATTCTACTTGAGTCATGTTAGAATACTTGACCTCTCTTTCGGCCAGCTTTATCTAGACAACAATTAACTGGTACCAACTAGAGTGGGAAGGCCTTCGGGGTGCAGTCCCCAAGTGAGTCCTCTAAACCTGATTCTCCTGGGTGGTGTCCTCAATTATTGATGGGTCATGTGGGCAAAATTTTTCTTTCGTGTCAAATAAAATATTTACACAAGTTAGATATATTTATGTAAATGCTCATTTTAAACTAAAAATAAACTAGTCACAAGCACGTCATCCTTTAGTAACACACAAATCTAAAACTATGTCATTTTGTGAAAATTTCAGACTGTGATAGGGTTGAAAAGTGAACACTTGTGTTTTAGGTTTGATTTCGAATACATTATGAAACTTCTTTATATTTAAAAAATGTTTAATGCATTATTTCTCAATTTAGATTCAGTTTTCCATTTCCCCCCACTGCCATCCAATTTTGTGCTTAAAATGCCACCTGATCCTAAATCTGGAGATGTCTCTATTAAATTGTAAATGAGCACTTACCCAAATAACAGCTCAGCTTTCCCTGTGATTTGATGAGGCTCTAATTCTCCCTGGGCGCTGGGCGCGATGGTTGGGGTTGGGCTGCCAGCAGGCTCGCTCTCCGCTCTCAGGCAGCCGTCCCCAGCCGCTGCCAGTGCGGAGCAAGCCCAAGGTTACTCAGGTTCTTCTGCTCCAGTTTTGATCTTCCTGGCTTCTGTTTTCCCGTCTGCTGCCTCCTTTCATTTTTTTCTTCTCTTTTTCTTGATTATTTAATTTATTGCTCATGAGCTTCTCATTAAGGAGTGAGCCAGTGGGCCATCAGTGTGCTTTACGGGATGCAGCTGCTTTTCAAGATTTAAAAGCAAAATTCCAAAAACTTAAGTTAAAGGGGGCATTCAGAAATGGTCTTCAAATCCAATTAGAACTCTTTCTCTGTTGGGGGTGTTGGTGTTTCAGTCCTTGGGTCTTAATCTAGATACTTTTTATTAATCTGTGTCTTTTTGAAAGAAATCAACTTATATACCAACCTTGTAAAGTACTCATATAGTGTGGGCAACATACCACATTTACTCCCTATGTAATATTTTAAAATCTAAAACCTGTGGTCAGACTGTGGCTCAGACTGGTTATTATCTGTCGAGCTATCAAATGACTGTATCCATGAAAACAGATTTGGCTGGGGAAAGTGAAAACAAAATCAGAAACAGTGCCATGATTAGGAAAGCAGTTGGGTGAGATTTGCTCTCCTCTAAGTAAGTTCACGCTGTATTGTGAATGAGCGGATACTAACTGATATCTTGAAAAATGTCAGGGAGCTGTTACCCACTCATTAGTGACGTCTGCGAGACAGTTGTACGTCTGTTCTCATAGATCCCGCCTCATCTGCTTTGTGGCTTTTAAGAACCAGCAACATTCCCTTTAAAACAAAACGTTGTGTCCCTGTGTGTTGTAGATGGCTTTGGTCAGTCTGTATTTATACTTTTCTTCAATTCTTCTAGAATGCAGAGCCAAGCCAGATGCAGATTCCAAAAGAAACGGTAAGAGCTTTGTCTTTTGCAGGATGTAGAGTTGCTGCAAAGATCAATGAAACTAACTTCTTACTAACTAAATATGAAGTTAACATGTCCTGCCTTTTTCCCAGAGTGATCATATTTTTAAAATACTTATTATTACTACCCTGAATGGAGTATATTTTGTTATTATTTTTGGTCAGACATTTGTAACAAAGCAAGACACATTAGAATAATTCGCTATTAAATTGTGTAAGGAATCAAAGCTCGGTAAGGTTAGTATTTTGACACATATGCAACATGTTTCATGAGTTGTGAAATGCCATATGTTGCTGTAAAATGGGAAAACCTGGCTGCAAAACAACCTTTGAGTCAGGCACAGAAAAAAACAGGGGCAAAGTGAGTACAATATTATAAGCCGGAAACTTAAAATGCCATGTCAGTAACTAGGCTAGACACAGTGGTCATAATGCCCATAAAAGAGATAGTTTCCTTTCATAAAAGTTAAGCACCCTCAGCTCAAATTACATTGCAAACGTAGTTGGTTCTGTCCAGAAGATGAGTCCCAATTCGGATCAGAAGTAGAAGGAGTTGAGCTGTGACAGGAGAACTGTACGTGTGGGTAGGAAGGCAGGGCTGAGTGACTGTGAGCCTCTGGGAAGGTCCCTTCGGGAGCAAATGAAGGCATCTTATATGGACATTAAGGTCATATGCTAGAGATTCTAGTACTGAAGTTCTTTTGTGCATCAGTTCCAAATAGAAAATTTGACAAAGCCACATCCACAGTAGCATTAGTACACATTGTCAAGTAAGCCCCCCCCCCAAAAAAAAAAAGTGAAAATAAAAGGCATTTCTGTCACCTAAATAGCAGGTTTCACTTTTGTATAAATTCATGAACTATTAAACAAAATGTTATTTTCAAATATGCCGTCACTTTGGTACTGTCATGTCACACCTCATTGGAACCTCAGCGACCCCCCACCTCCCCTAAGAACATCACACACTCACAACTACAAGTGAGGCAGCATCATAGCTTGGAAGTTTTATTTGTAAAAGAAATAGGTCAGAAATATCTAACCAGATAACACTGGCATTCGTGTGTTGGGAGCCTGCAGGCTAGATGGTGAAGAGACATGGGAGAGATTGTAAAGCAAATGTAGTACAAGAGCAATTTGTTTTTTTAAAGGCAATTGTAGCAAAGTATAGTGCAAAGCTACAGTACTTAAACTGGGATCATATTGCTGTAGGAATAGACAGGTAGGTCATTTAAAACATGACAAAAGGACATGGTATGTATAGGCATTTTGTAGATGGTGTTTTAAATTAGTGGTATAATATGGTTTACTTGGTATTTAGCACAGTTCATCATTTTCTTTTAAAATTTATTTATTCATGTGTTTATTAGCTTGACTAGGATGTGGTAAGAATAGTAAGGCTACAATCTACCACTCAGCTATACCATGCCACTTACCATTCACTTGTGAAAGATTTCTTTTTCTCACTATACAGTGGTACCTTGATTCATGAACTTCAAAATTCTTCCCATGATTCTAAAATATGTATCAGAAACTATACCCTGAAATAATTGCAAGATACATACTAAGGGGTGAAGTAAGTACTGAGGGATTTTCACATAGATTCATGGAGGAAAAACAATTTCTTTGTGGTTTAGAATCTTGGTAGTGTAGAGCTTCATGTATCAGTTACATCTTAAAATCTCAAGCTGTCTGAGTTAGGAAATGATAATTAAGAAGAGTAAAGATTGAAATATTCTTTCTGAAGCTGTAGTCAAGCCTGTTGAGGAAACTGATGATTTGCCATGACGTTTTTAGCAGCTTTATATACAGTATCTCATTAGAGATACAAGAGCGGTTGCACTCTGCAGTGCTGTGCCAAAGAGGGAAGTGGGCCTTTGGTCTGATTGTGCATGACATTTCCCTAACTGCCTCTTGGTTTGTTTGTTTGTTTGGAGAGACTGGGACTTAAACCCAGGGCCTTTACCTGGAGCAACATCCCTGGCCCTTTTTAGTTTTTCTTTTTTCTTTCTTTTTTTTTTTTTGAGGAACTGGGGATTGAACTCAGGCCCTTGCGCTTGCCAGGGAAGCGCTTATTCCACTGAGCCATCTCCCCGGCCCCTTTTTAGTATTTCTTTTGAGACTAGATCTTAGTAAATTTCCTAGGCTAGGCTTGAAGATGGCATCCTCCTCTCTCAGCCTCCTGGAGTGTGGAGTTTGCAGGTATGTTCCACCACTTCCAGCTTCTTTCTACCAATTTCGAGTACACAGTGGGACTCATAAAAAATCTCCATAACAGGCTTTTTCTGTTCTAATTAGGGTTTCATAGTGATTTCCTTTGATTTAGGTTCTAGATCTGGGCAGTTCCAGATTATCCTTTTTGTTGAACCCTAGAATGGGAGGGAGATACCCACTGTGACCCACAGGGACAGGCCCCTGGGAGGGGTGTCCTGTTGCTTGCTCTTTTCCTTTCAGTCATGTGCTACCCTAAGGCTTTTCTTAGCTAACATTGCTTGTAAAATTGTAGTTCTCTTAGTGGCTGACATGTATTCATCTGTTATTGTGCTAAGCTCTTTAAGGCATTAGTTAATCTTTGCAATACTCATGCTTTTATTGGTAATACTTTCCTGTTTAACTCTTAACAAAAAGAATTAATCTTGGTGGGCCCCAAATCTTGGCACCAGGAATGAACTCAGGTTGTCTCACTCTAGAATTTGCTTCTTCTCAGTGTTGGCTTTTGGGTTTTTGTGGAACAGTTTGATATGTGGAGTTTAAGAAAGTTGAAAAAAGAAATACATCTTCTGCTGTATGATTTCCACATTGGTTGTTGACAGATTGTGATTGAATTTTACTAGAAATAAATGAAAAATAATCCCATGGTCTTGCGGCATCTTTTTAGTCACTGTGGTGAGATGAGGTCCCTTTTATTTTTCGCATCAGTAACAGAAGGTACATAGCCTCTGTGGGAATCCCTGCTCTGTACCAGCAGGTTTGTTCACTGCCACTGGGTCCTCTCTGTCTCTGCCTGGGGCAGTGAGTGGCTTTGCTCATCCACATGGAAAATCAACTTTGAAGTCCTATTTCAGAAGACTTTCATATGCTGGCGATGAAATTCTTCCTCTCTGATTCTTCATCATATTTTTCTGTTTGTATTTATATTTGCAAAATTGATTTGTCTCATTTTGTCATACACATTCTCCAGTAGTGTTTAAATTTTTGAGCAGTTGTAAGCACCATGAGAACAGATATGTCCTAAGTCACTTAGCTCCTGGGCTAACCAAGAATAAGTTAATTGATTGGCTGCTTATGATAATTAGAGCTGATTTAGAGAACTAAAATTATTAAGATTGGACAAATGGGGTCAATGGTTAGGGGGTCTTTTAAAATTTCCAGGATAGAAGTCCACTGTACATATTCCAAATATGTGTTGTTTGTGTTAATGAAAGTAAAACTTCAAAATCTCTGAATTGTCCATTAAAAATTGCACAATATGCTGAATTCTTTACTGTCTTTTCTCCTGTCCTTTTGCAACAGGTCTTGCTATATAAGACTGTCCTTGAACTCACTTTGTAGCCCAGGCTGGCCTCCAACCTGTGGTGATCCTCCTGCTTCAGCTTCCCAAGTGCTGGGATTACAGATGTGTGCCACTATGCCCAACTTTTTTTTAAATATTTTTTTTAATTTTTATTTATTTGAGAGAGAGAGAGAGAGAGAGAGAGAGAGAGAGAGAGAGAGAGGTGTGTGGCCAGCTCAGCCCACCAGGGGGCGGGGCTGGCTGGCATGTAGTGCTGGGGGATTGAACCGCGGTCCCTGATGCTTTGCTAAGCTTGTTCTAAGTAGGTGCTTTAGATCACTGAGCCATCTCTCCAGCCCCTATGCCCAACTTTTAATATGCTGAATTCTTTAGCAAAGGCTACATGCACTTGGTGTGTCTTGGACAAACTTTTTGCCCTTGTAATCACTTGGTTGGGGATGTGTCATTGTTGAGGTAGGGCCTGATAAGACTTGAATATGTTAGGATTCCCTGGGAAGGAAAATCGATAGAGTGTGTTGTGCAGTTACCATAAGGGACAGACTGCGGCATTATGGAGACTGGCAACCCACACTGCATATGGTCCCCTCCACCCACAACATACCTATAAATTCCTAGGGCCACATGAATGACAGCTGCATGCAGAATAGATTCAGAGTTGTTGGATAGAAGTAGAGCTTTGGAACAATGATGAGGCAGGTGTGGTGACCCATGTCTGTAACACCAGTGCTCTGAGAGGCAGGCAGGGTAGGGGGCTGGCAAGTTCGAATCAAACCTGTACAACTCAGTGACTTACCAGGACTCTAGCCTAAAATACCAAAAATTAACCAACCAACCAATAAATAAATAAAAGTCTGGAGATACACTTTGTGGGAATGCCCATGGGTTCAGTCCCCAGTGCTGCAAAAACTAAAACAGATAATAGCAGATTATAGGGGAAAGGTGCAACATGAGCTTAAATTTCAAGAATTCCAAATGTGCTGGGCATGATGGTACGTGCCTTCAACCCCAGCACTGGGGCCACTGAGGCAGGAGGATGACTGCCAGTTCAAGGCCAACCTGCGCTGCATAGAGAGACGTTGTCTCAAAATCAAAACAATTTAAAATGTTTTCTTAAAGAGGCTTCTCAGTCTTTTCCTACTGAAACTATAGGCATACTCTTGATGGGCTGATTTCAGAAAGGTTGACTTCTACTTAGAAATGCAATGCACTCACACAGTGTACGTGAGCATTAGTGGTCCCCCTCAACTGAGGGTTCTAGTAGACCAAGTGTGGTCATCACTTCAACCCTGCTGTGAAGTTAACAGCTGAGCCAGAGCAGGTAGGATTGTAGGGAGGAACAGATTCGAGAGCTGTTCCCTCTTCATCCCCCAAATGGACGAGGTTGTGTGATGTTCTCATGAGCAGACACTTCAGCCCGATAAGAATGAACTCAGTGTGTACTCTAAACCACACAGTGAATTTAAAACAATCTCACTACA